ACACATCACAGATTCCATTGAACTGGAAGCTAAGAATGCCACTGGCCACTTGGGACTCCTTATGTTTCTGGATCAGCAGGCAAGGAAGGGAGTTACCATACTGGTTGATGTGATTGATCCCAATTACCAAGCGGAAATTGGATTGATATTACATAATGGAGGTAAAGAAGAATATGTCTGGAATGCAGGAGATCCCTTAGGGCATCTTTTAGTACTGCCATGCCCTGTGATTAAAGTCAGTGGAAGACTACAGCCACCCAATTCCAACATGACTACTAATGACCCAGACCCTTCAGGAATGTAGGTTTGGGTCACCCCACCCAGCAAAGAACCACAACCAGCTGAGGTACTTGCTGAGAGCAAAGGGAATATGGAATGGGTGGTGGAAGAAGGTAGTTCTAAATACTGGTTATGACCACTTGACCCATTGCAGAAACGAGGATTGTAATTGTTATGAGTATTTCTGCTTTGTATGTGTGCATCAAATATTTTTGTTTTCTTCACTTATAAGACGTAAATGGGGCTAGTTCGTTTTTGGTTGTACGTGTGTTAGTTGTGTCATGTTAGGCACAAGTATGACTTTATAATTGTCTTTATTCAGAGATTATGTATGGTTTAAAGAGATGTGTACATGTGCCAAGTTGACAAGGGGTGGTCTGTGGTGATTAATATTGTGTGTCAACTTGGCTGGGCCATGATTCTCGGTGTTTATATGTGATCACTCCCATGATGGAATCTGCTGAGTAGCTAGTCAGTTGAAAGGGAGTTTCCTTGGGGGTGTGACCTGCATCTGAATATAAGCAGACGTTCTTGCTTTTTGCTCACTCTGGATCCTGCATCTGCCTCCTGTTCATCTGACCTCCGGTTCTTGGAACTTGAGCTATCAGCTTATCTGCCAGTCTTGCGATTCGTTGATCTTCACAGCCTGTGAGCAAGTGCCCTGCTCTCCAACCTGCTGATCTTGGGTTCACCAGCCCCTGCAGTTGCATGAATCAAGAGAAGCCTCTATCCTGATCCACAGACTTGGGAAGTTCCAGTCTCTACAATCGTGTGAACCATTTCCTTGATATGAGTCTCTTTATACATATATATATGCTTTACTGGTTTTATTTCTTTAGAGAACCCAGACTAAGACAACTATTTAGAATTCTAGTATAGTGGTTCTCAAACTTCAGTATGCATTAGCATCACCCACAGGATTGTTAAAATGTAGATTCCTGGGCTTCACCCCTAAAGTTTGTGATTCCGTAGGTCTGGGGTGGCTTTGAAATTTTGCATTTCTAACATAGTCCCTAGTGATGCTGGTGCTGTTGGCCCATCAACCACACTTTGCAAACCGCTGCTCTTGTATATGAACTGAGAGTGCCCTCAGTCAGTCTCCTCATTTTACAAATGAGAATATAGGCTCAGAGAAGGGACCACCTTACCCAAGGCCCCACAGTCCAGGATGATAACCCAGGGGTCTTGGCTATCTGCTCAATGATTTAAATATGTGACAGCTGTTTTCAGGGCATTTTTATTAGCTAAGCCCAGCAGATTGACATTTGCTTGGAATGCTTACAAATTTTCTAAAGGCCGTTAGACAACTAGTTGCTGGAATAAACGGACTCAGTACTTTCAGTGATGTTGTCAGTTAGGTCTTGGAAGTACATGTGAATTGAAGGAGGGGAACAGAGGAAACTGCTCTGTCTATGCTGCTGTATGTGCTCTGCATGTATTATCTCATTGAATCTGCATAACAGCCCAATCAAGCAGTTACTTTTATTACCTCATTTTATAGGTGGAAAAACTGAGGCATATGGAGATTAAATGATAGGCAGAGTTGGGCTTCAAACCCAGGCATTCTGACTTTAGAGTTTGTAGCCCTAAACACTTTGCTGCACTGCTTCAGTCTAAAAATCCATGCTGGTATGTTAAGGGCTTCACTAGCCCTTCCTTAGGGGCAGCTGTCATAGGGCCAGGAGAGTAACACCAGTCCCTCCTAGTAATAATACAGTGCTTCTCAATCCTGACTGTATGTTTAAATAATTTTTGTTGTGTGTGACCTTGTCATTCTGACTCACGACCCTATAGGACAGAGAAGAACTGCCCCATAGGGTTTCCTAGGCTGCAGTTTTTATGGGAGCAGATCCCCAGGTCTTTTTTTCCCGTGGTGTTGCTGGTGAGTTCAAACCACCAGCCTTTCGGTTAGCAGCCGAGCACTTAACCATTGCGCCACCAGGGCGCCTTTAAAATCAGCTGGAGAGCTTAAAAAAAAAACCAACCTGGGCCCCACCCTAGACCAGTTGAGTCAGAATCTCTGGGGTGGAGCCTAACCCAAAAGACCAAACCCACTACCATGAAGTCAGTCCTGACTCATAGCGACCCTATAGGACAAAGTAAAACTGCCCCATTGGGTTTCCAAGGCTGTAAATCTTTACAGAAGCAGACTGCCATATGTTGTTATTAGGTGCTGTCACTTGAGTCAGTTCTGACTCATAGCAACCCTGTGAACAACAGAACAAAACACTGCCCAGTCCTGTGCCATCCTCACATTTGTTGCTATGTTTGAACCCATAGTTGCAGCCAGTGTGTCAATACATCTTGTAGAGGGTCTTCCTCTTTTTTGCTGATACTCTACTTTACCAAGCATGATATCCTTTTCCAGGGACTGTTCCATCCTGATAACACGTCCAAAGTGCGTGAGAGGAAGTCTCACCATCCTTGCTTCTAAGGAGCATTCTGGCTGTACTTCTTCCAAGATAGATTTATTCCTTCTTCTGGCAGTCCATGGTATATTCAACATTCTTCACCAGCACCATAATTCAAATGCATCAATTCTTCTTTGGTCTTCCTTATTCATTGTCCATCTTTCGCATGCATATGAGGCAATTGAAAATACTATGGCTTAGGTCAGACGCACCTTAGTCCTGAAAGTGACATCTTTGCTTTTGAACATTTTAAAGAGGCCTTTTGCAGCAGATTTGCCCAATGTAATACATCGTTTGATTTCTTGACTGCTGTTTCGATGGGTGTTGATTATGGATCCAAGTAAAGTGAAATCCTTGACAACTTCAGTCTTCTCCATTTGTCATGATGTTGCTTATTGTTCCAGTTATGAGAATTTTTGTTTTCTTTATGTTGAGGTGTAATCCGTACTAAAGGTTGTAGCCTTTTTTTTTTCTTACTTTGAGTTAAAAAGATGAGTTAATTTCTTTTTTTATTGTACTTTAGATGAAAGTTTACAGAACAAACTAGCTTCTCATTAAACAGTTAGTATACATATTGTTTTATAACCTTGGTTAACAATCCCACAACATGTCAGCATTCTCTCTTCTTGACCTTGGGTTCCCTCTTACCAGTTTTCCTGTCCCCTCCTGCCTTCTAGTCCTTGTCACTGGG